AAAAAAAAACCAAGTACGACCTTACTGACTGCAAACAAACTTGCCTCGTATACCTCCTTGTCACGACAGTAACTGCATATCCTCCGAAACACGACTGCCGTGTCCATCAGCTTATCAAGAATAAGTAAAATGATGAGTCTGGAGATCATTAAACCCTACAATCTATCCGAAACTCCATGGTCCTGCGGCATTAGATCATTCGACAAAGGGTCATGAAATAGGCAGCAAGTGAGTGATCAAGCAAGACTTTCAGATACAGGCACTTATGTTATTACAGATGCAATGCGGAGATATCATTTGTTCATTGTTCAAGAATCAATTCCTCAGTTCACTTGTAATCTCTAAACTCATTCATTCAGAAGTTATTACGTTCAAAGGAAGTAAGTAAACGCGATAGCGGACGAATGCTTTTTACAGTACTGAGGTGATTATCATATAGAGAGACAAAAATTTTGGAAGGATAAAAGCAACAGAGATTTTCTAACTTGAAATGAAAGTTCTGTGAAGGCTGGGGGATTAGCGTACTATCTATTCATGTAAAGATTACTAGGATAATATTGAAAGGGCTGATTTACTGAGTCAGCCGTGCCAGCTGAGCTGGCAATCCTTCTGGAACAACAGCATCGCGACCAAGATCGGCGTTATACGTATCTGTGGGAGGCTTATAAGTGAAGAAAACATCTGCGAACTTTACAGCGACGAAGCAGAGTATTCTTTCGAGCTTGCTCTCGCCTTCCGGATTCTTTTGTCGCGCCTACACTGAGATTGTATCAATGGAATATTCTTTAAGAAACATTTATGTTCGCCCAACATAACCGCTGCTCCTACGTAAAATGTAATGTAGAATCGGCGTTGACACAGTGCCGCGAACATTACACGAAAAGACATCAGGTTTTTGATGCCGACATCGTAGTGGCGTATAAGGGTAGAGGAACAAATGCAGCCAGTCTGGTGTGCCTTCGGGGGCTACTGGTTCTGGAACGACAGCCTTTGCAGCATTGCAAAAGGAGCAGCTGGCCTCAAAAGGCCACTCGAACTGGCGGCGTTCGTTCCTCTACCCACATGTAACGACAAAAGCCCCGGCGGCCACAACGATACGCGCGCGAGCTAGCCTTTGCTATGGCGACGGCTGGACGATATCACTGAGGTGCGAAGGAGACTTGAGAGTTTTTTGTATACATGCATTGATATTTCAGATTGCTTTTGTTGGTAT